GAAGAGTTGATCCATCGGTGATGTCTAGTGTGGGCACAGAGACGGATGACTCGCTGTACGACCTGCTGGTTGAGGTACAGTTGGAGCAGTTCCTGGACGCCATCCAAGCCATTCACGTGACTCTCGTCGACCACTTTGACAAGGTGATTATCTCCGACCTGACGGACCCCAGGGTAGGGATGGGCGCACCGGCAGCTCGAAGGCTCATCGCGGCCGCCAAGACCAGGATTAGGGACCGCAAGAGGAAACACATCCTCAATCTCATTCTTCCCAAGTCATCCATCTCGTCGTCCACTCATTCATCTAAACGCACCGCTCATCCGGTGAACCCAAGAAGAAATTCATTGACATCCACCTCATCTGCCAATGGGTTGACGTGTTTGATACAAAGCAAAGACATCAAGACATATAACAAATTAGGTGATGGGTCCTTTGGGGTAAGAATCGCTGTTTTATGTGCTTTTGGCGCTTATTTGCATTGAGTATTGAAATTAATTTATTTCTTAAATTAAATTACAAGTGAAAAGCATTTATAGGTTTGAAATAGTGTTAAGATATTGATGATGTTTTAATAATAATTTTATGATATTCAATATCTGCCTAATAATCACCAAAATTTATTACTATCTCTACTACTGTTTTCATAATCCCATTAACACAGCACTTATTATAATACTATNATTACTATCTCTACTACTGTTTTCATAATCCCATTAACACAGCACTTATTATAATACTATACCCTTTTATACTGATTATTCAACGATTATTATTATTTTATGTTTTTATTATATTACTGATAAATTATTTTTTATGTTTATATGTTTGTTAATTTATAGTACCTGTACGAGCGATAAGTTTATACTGTAATACATTGAAAGGTTGAATGATTTTAATGAATGCAATGATATGTTGGTACCAATAGGTTGTATTGAGGGGTGAGTGGACCCTAACAGATGGTAAGACCAAAGAGGTTGCGGTGAAAGTGTTAAAGCAAGAAGTGTTGGCACAACCGACAGCTTTGGAGGACTTTGAGAAAGAAGTGAATGCAATGCATCAGTTGAGTCACCACAACCTGATCCGACTGTACGGCATAGTATTATCATCACCGATGATGATGGTCACAGAGCTCGCCTCATTTCCGAGAGATTCCCTAGCTGATGCGTTTCTCACGCCTGTGTGTAGCTATAGTTGTGAGTAACTTATGCGCTATGTTTATAGAGTTCCTTACCGAATAAACCTCAGGTTCGCGAAATAGGTGTGAGATTTGGCGGCGCGTAATGTCCTGCTGTCCTCTAATGACAAAATAAAGATCGGAGACTTCGGACTCATGAGAGCCATTCCCTCCCACGAAGACTGCTATATAATGAATGAGCACAAGAAGGTGCCGTTCCCCTGGTGTGCACCCGAATCACTTAAGTCCAGACAGTTCTCTCACGCCAGCGATACCTGGTTTGTAGTTTTGCTCATATTTTGCATTAATGTTTGAATTAACGATCAATTGAATGAAAAGGATGTTTGGAGTGACCCTTTGGGAGATGTTTACCTTCGGTCACGAGCCATGGATTGGTTTGAATGGCGCACAGATTCTGCATAAGATTGATAGAGAAGGCGAACGCTTACCCCAACCAAACGCCTGTCCCTTTGAGATTTATCAGCTATTATTGCAGTGTTGGGCCCCAAAACCCAACGACAGGCCCACATTCGAGGCGTTGAAAGCGTTCTTCTGTGAGTCCCGTCCTCTCAAACTAAAAGCTTTACAAATGTTTGACGGAAAACCTGAAAATCATCCCAAATTGGCGGCCGATAAGGACGAGAACAATGCAGACCTGTATTTGAAGATAGAAATGAGTGATGAGATCCATGTCATTGAAGGCCGACCCGAGAATTATTGGTGGAGAGGACAGAACCAGAGGACGTATTCTATCGGATATTTTCCGCGATGTGTTTCCGGGAATAATACAATTAAATCAAGTGATATAAGCAAACCGCTGAGGAATAGTTTTATTCACGCTGGCCATGGAGGTCATGGAGCCGAGTCATGGGGTAATCCGGCTTATATTGACTCAATGTATCTGAAGAAAAATAAGTAAATGATAACTAAAATGAAGACTAAGACCAACCAAATGATGGCTAATTGTTGACTAAAACTCATAATGAGTTGGAAATGAGATGAAAATGATTTGAAAAGACAATCCAATTGTAATCCAAATGTAATAAACGTTCAGAAAATGAATGAATGAATGAAATAATGAAAAAGCATTTGAAAAGCAATGCAAACAAACAATGCTTTCACAGAATCGGTGCTAAACTAGTGACACATTTGGGACTAATTTGTTATAATTTGTTAAGAATTTCATTTTATTTGCCATAACTTTCTTTACAGAATTCATTACACATTCACACCATTTACTCATTGAAATAGCATTCAAATCAATCACAATCGATATTATTATGGTTTAGTTCTCTATATAATTTCATAAATAATAAAAAAGTAAATCAAATGTAAGAAAAATTAAGTTAAAAATCCAACAAAAAGCAGATCTTTGGCTGACAGTCAATACCACATTTTCTTCAATTATTTTATACATGATTTCAATGATTTAAATGAATATAAATTAAAGTATAAGTTCATTAGATGATAACAAATGATAATTATTTTATATACGAATACTTAACACCAGTCCTAACTTGACTTCATTTCAATCAACTTATAAACAACTAAAATAAGATATAATAGATTTATAATAAATTTGTAAATTAGATTAACTAATAGTTATTCGAGACAATCGATTATCATTTGACGGCCAACTGGTCCAAGAGGTGAGAGGCAGCCATTTCCATGTCATAGTTGGCTGTCATCAACGCCTTTTCGCACTCGAATTGAGTACAAATACCTAATTTCATGAGTTCTGAGAGTTGCAGTTCTTTGAGAGCGGCCACGGCGTCCATATTGTTCTTATAGAGGGCTGTTATGCAGTCTTCTTTGGTCGCACTCTTCACTCTGTTCTGCAGTCGTGTCACCAAAGACTGTGGGAAATCCATTTTCGTGGGCAGTGATGATCCGGGAATCGAGTTATGACTGACACCGAGACCGTAGATTGACTCTCGACTCGGGGCCGACGGGTTCACGAGAAATGGCTTCACATGTGCTGTCACTGCGTTAGTCGTGTTGACGACCGTTGGCTTTGTTGGCAGACAAACGGTGGCAAACGTGGTGTCCGATAAGACAGAGTTAGAGGGTTTGCTCGGGTGTGTGGGAGTGGAGGTGGCGTTTGATCGTCTGGTGGTGGCGTACTTTGGGGGCGGCTCTAGCACTGGGATTTGGCTCACTGTCCACTTATTTTTGGCATTGGGTTCAAAGGTCTCTATCGTGTGATTCGATGGCTTCACAAACTTGGACTCGAGTTCTTCAATGAATTCTTTACTCAGTTTTGTTATGTTTTCGTTACCATTGTTTGCGTTATTTTGTGGACTAAAGTCTTGGAAATTATTAGAAACCATAGCTTTTGGTGTTTCATTCAAACCAATATTATTGACTTTGGACGCCAACCAATCGAATTGGCGTTCATTAGTCGTGGTATTGGTATTAGTATTGGTGTTATAGTTGAGACCAAATATATTGTTTTGTGGCACTGAAGGCGTCCATTGTATCTGAGATTCTTCTCCGGAAGCGACTGCAGAATAATAGCGGTCTTTGTTTGAAAAGGAGTCCTCATTATTGACGGGAATATCCGAGAACTCTAAGGGCGGGGAATAGTATTTGCAACTATTGGCCAACTCTTGGGACTCAACGGGAAGATTACAATAAGTGCGGTCTTCTGACCACTCATTGCTTGCCGTCACGGCTTGTGTTTCATGTGTCTGTCCACTCGTTTCCGGTTGACTCATAGAAACCAATGCTTTATGAGTTTCGGTCATAATTTGTTGAGCGGTAAATGAGTCGACGGACACCTCATCGCTTAAATCAATTAACACGCCGTCTCTCTGACCATTGGACTGGTCTTCACTCCACTGATCGGTTGCGGTCTTCAGTTGTGTATACGATAACGAACGGCGCGGAAGATTAGACACATTAGTCTTATAAACCATTACTTTTTCGTTTTGGAGTTTATTATATCCGAATTGATTAATCTTTTTGGACTCAATTTGCTTAAAGTCAGACAAATGTATTGTTTCTAAATATACAATAAAACAAGTTTCAGTGTAAATAGTGTCACAAAGTCTTAAATACATTTAAAAACCTACTTTTGTTTCTATTGGCCAGTTTTGGAACAGAAGGCTCGTCCGATTGGATCCCCAGGACATCCGGTGGTTCCATCGGATTCTTCAGATACATTGAGTCAATATAAGCCGGATTACCCCATGACTCGGCTCCATGACCTCCATGGCCAGCGTGAATAAAACTATTCCTCAGCGGTTTGCTTATATCACTTGATTTAATTGTATTAT